CTGGGTCATGCAGTGCCAAAAGGGAAAGTGCTGATGTGCTGATGGCAAGGGTTTGGGGGTGTGGGGGTGCAGGGGTGGTGGCACTGCCCAGCCGGGTCACCCCGTCACAGGTGGGGATGAGGAATGACTTGAGGGGTGATTTCTGCTCCTGCCACCCCCAGTGGCCTCATCCTGCTGCCCTTCTCTCCCAGGGACTGCACATCCCTTTAAATATCTCCTGAATTCTGATTCTCTTTCCCCCCTGGATCTGCCTGCCCAGCTCTCCCTGGGGAGGGCACAGCTGCTCCCCTGCCCCACACCGCCTTTAAACCCCCCCAAGTGACCACCCCAGTGCCCCCAGAGCAATGTGCCCCCTGTTTGATGTGGGCTGTGCCTGGTCTTGGGCACCAAAGGGCTGGTGGGGACCCCGAGGGTGTTGGTGACCCTGCAGCGGGACTGGCATCTGCAGAGCTGCGGGTCCTGCTGGTGAAAGCAAGTTAACTGGTGGAGGAGAAAGAGGTGAGGGGGGAGAAAAGATTGTTTAAGAAAGAAATGACTATTTGGCCGTGGCTTAGAAGTTGGTACTTAGAAATTCCATGAATTTTAAAATAAAGACATCGTGAGATTTGAACTTTCTTTTGAATCCTCACAAACTGCAGGGCCTAATACCTTCCCTGGCCATTAAGGAGCTGTGCTGGGAAGCAGGGAGAGCTAAGTACTGCACTGATAGAGCAGTTAAACACCGTAATGGAATTGTGTTTGGAGAGGCTGCAAAGCCAGGTATAGAGCCCATACATAAACAAGGCCATTACCAGCCCGGGTAAGCGGTGATAGAATTTCATGAATATCCCCCACAAAAAGCTTTGTATATTTATAACAGCCTGCAGAGTCGTTTGGAGCACAGTCGGGGGCCTTTCAGAGCGATTCTGGAGTTAAATTGTACAACAGATCTGCGTGTCCCCGCACTGGGGTATCGACTGCAGGCCAAGCTGGCTGGGACAGAGGGGTTCTGAGGTGCTGTGGGCCCTGAACCAGCTCTGGCAGTGACATCCTGATGGTTACTGCCCACCAGTTCTTCCAGTTTCCAACTTCAGATGCTCTTTTCAGAAAGGTTTTTAAGATGCTCCTCTGTTTGCAGGGCAGGGGAAACAGAGGGGCGCTGCTGCCCAGCTGGGGTGGAGAGGGGAGGAGCAGGAGTGGTTGCTCCTCTGCTGCCTGGCTGGGGAAGTTGCCAAGGGGCAAAGATAGAAGTTTCCACGACTCAGGAAAGGAGAAACAAATGTGGGAGCCATCATCCTCGGAGCATCAGGATGGAGGGGCTTCAGAGCCACACAGAGAGAGGGCTCAGAGGGCAGTGAGAGAGGGGGCTCCTCTGTGGCACAGCGAGGCACCAGCTTGGGTGGTGGGCACAGCCGAGATCCCAAACCGGGGCTGTTGGGCCCAGACAGATCCTGGTGCTTCCCCTGGGCTGCTTTGCTGGTGATCCTGCACCGATCCCACAGCATTCCTGGGGCAGGCTGTCCAACATGGGCAGGACACGTGTGTGCTGTCAGAGCCGCTAAAAACCTCGGCAAGAAACCCGCCCTCTCCACCCCTGCAGCTGGAAAACAGGAAAGCCACCTCCTGAGCATATTTATTGCTTTAATTTGAATAAACAGGTACTTTAAACTTAGGAAAACTTTGCAGTGCAACTCTTGCAGAACCTGAACCCGAGTGATTGGTGCAGCTCGGGCACGAGCCGTAATAAAATGCTAATTGCAGTTCATAAATTACGTCGGGATGCCCGGGACTGCTGGAGCTCCTGGATGAAGTGTAGCGTTCAATTTATCCTGTGCACGCTGCAGACAGTGCTGCCAGCCTCCCTCTTGTCCCCCTGTGTTGTTTTGTCATCTCTGGACTATCACCAATTCATCACAAAGGCAACTGAACTCGCCGGTGTCCACCCACCGGGTGACTTTGTCTTCGCTACTCTATGACTTCTAAATTAAATTGTCAAAACACATTACTGAGAGAAATATCGTGAAGGGGAAGTTCTTTACCCTTTTATCCCAGCTGAAGAGAGAAGGGGTTTGATTTGGAGAAAACATGTCTGCTTCATTATCCCTCCCGTTCTCATATTTCTTCGCTCGGCAGCAGCGGGAGAAGGGAGTCGATACACGAGTCGTGGATGACATGATGGAGCATCCCACAGGAGTTGTCCTGATAAATTCTGTGATTGCCCAGGAAAAGCTTGGGGGGGGGGGGGGGGGGGGGGGATTGTGTGTAATTTTCACTCTCTTTTCTTCCTCCCACTCTCAGACAATTTCAAAGGTATTATGGGTTTGCTGGTGTGGATTTTCCTGAACTGGATGTTCCCGCTCTGCCGGCACTGGTTGGTCTGGAATAAGCTCCTTGGATTCCTTGCAAGGGAAGAAATCAACACAGTAGAGGCACAGACTGCTGGCTGTGGAGGACACAGGTCCTGCTCTCATCCCTGCCCTCTTTGAATCCCAGAATCCCGGAATAGTTTGGGTTGGAAGGGACCTTAGAGCCCCTCTCATCCCACCCCCTGCCATGGGCAGGGACATCTTCCTCTAGACCAGGTTGCTCCAAGCCCCGTCCAACCTGGCCTGGAACACTTCTGGGGAGTTCAAGGTTGGATAATGGAGAAGGTTTTTGCTGCTGGAATCAATCACGGAAAATAATTCACCTGGAGTTGTAGAACAAAAGGAGCCTTTCCTCAAGGGAAAGGAGCTGTTGATTCCCCCTTTTCTCATTCCCACGTTGGTCTCTGGCCATAATGGATTGGCCATAAAAAGCAAGTAGCACACTGCGCACTCATTCTTTTGGCTTTGGACAATATTAACATAATAGACACATATTGTTTATTTATTCTGCTGTAGAGCAAGGGAAGGAGGTAGTGCCACATGTTTAAATGGGGTATTTTTAAATGCTCCCATTCCCGTGGCCGTTATGATGCATTAGCCATCAGTAGTCAAATTGCCTTGTATTTGCAATTTTATGGGTCCATTTTATCAAGCACACTGGAGCTGCATTCAAAGCATGAAAATAAAGTATTCCACTTGTGTTAGGCAAGCACTGTTTCAACTCGAGATACAGCCAGAGAGCAGAAATCTCCTTTTTTTCTCTGCCTCAGCTCCAGATTCATCTCCAAATGTTGCTTGTCCTTGCAGCAGCGACTGCTGAGAGCTCCTTCGTGGCTTGGAACATCCTCCACACACCAAGAGCTCACCACTGACTTTAACCTGCTGGGAAATCGTCCCGTGTTCCTCAGCTGGCTTAAAATATCTCCCAGTAAAACCTTACCCTTGTTCTTCTGGGAGGCACCAAGTGGTGCCTTCCCGAGTTGGTGTCCAGATTTCCAGCTCTCCCCGTGGAGCAGGGAAGGCAAAAACGATGGGAATCAGAAGGAAAGAGAAGTTCTCAGGGTGGATTTGGCGGCCGGGAAGTGTCGGGCGTCTGGTACCTGCCCTTCACGAGGATTTGGGGTCCGGGACTTGGGGTCACCCCACTGCCCCCAGGACCTGCTGCACCCCCTCGTGGGACCCCCGTGGGCACTCCAGGGACACGCTTTGGAGAGGGAAACTCTCGTCCTTGTTCCCAGAGGCCTGTGGGGTTCGCTGAGCAGGAATTTGCTCCCTCTCGTGGGCTCCGGAGCTGGTGGCTGAGCCACGGCAGAAAGCGATGGGATTCCTTGGAAAACAGGAAGGAAAAAGTCCCGTCTGGCCCCTGGGAGGTGCCGGCCCAGCACGGGATAAATGCAAAGACCCCCAGAGATGCAGCCCTGGGATGCAGCAGCGTTTGACAGCCCCGAACTAACTCTGCCTTTTGATGGGATGGAGTGCTGGCTCTCCAGAGCTCTCAGCTCCTTCTCACATAACATTTTATTGCTTTGTTGTCTCCGGCTCTGCCAATTCCGCCTGGATTTATTCCTTCCAGGAGCTCTGGCTGCCCTTCCACCAGCTCCAGACTGTGTAATGTGAATATTGCAGTGCTCACTGAATATTGGGGAGGAAACTATCACATATTCCTCATATTTTCAGGACAAGAGCAGCTCCGTTTAATACATCCATAAAAAACCCAGCAGCTTCATTAGTGCTTTAATTTAAATAAATAAACGGGGAATTTAAACTCGGTGAGGTTTCGCTCCGCAGCCCTGGCGAGACCTGAAGCCGAGAGGTCGGTGCAGCTCGGGCGCGAGGCATAATAAATAACACGGTACGTAAACGTTAAAAAAAAAATTAATAATAAAATAAAATAAAAAAACAAACAATACGCGTTCGCCGGGAATTGACTGCCACGGGAACGGGCAGGGAGCGGGCAGGGAACCGGCGGCTCGCGGGCCCCCCCTGACGGCGGGCGGGGGGATGCGGGGTGGCCGCCGCCAGGCCCGCAGGTTTCCGCTGGGCTGTCCCGGTCCCCCCGGTGCCCCCGGGTGTGTCCGCGAACCCCCCCCCCCCTCCATCGCTGTCCGGGCCCCCTGAGCGCCCTCAGGGCCACGAACTACAACTCCCGGCGTGCCCCGGGGGCGGCGCGGGGGAACCCTCCGCTCACCGTCCCACAATGCACCGGGGCCGCGGCAGAGAGACAAACGGTGTTAAACGTCATTAAAACGTTATCAAACGTTACCAAGCGGTATTAGATGTTTGTTAAGGGTTTGTTAGGAGTGCGTTAAGGGTTTAGTAAGCGTCCAAAAGCTCAACTGCGCGCCCAGGTGTTGGTGGTTCTGCCCTTTCCCTTTTGGGGGCGCCCGCGGCCTCGGGACTACAACTCCCGGCATGCCCCGCGCCCCCCCGGCAGTTCCGGCTCCGGGAGCGCCGCCGTGTCCCCGGAGGGGCGGCGGGGCCCGGGCGGTGACACCGGCGGGGACAGCGGCGGGGACACCGCGCTCGGCGCCGCCCGGGGCAGAGACACCGCGCTCGGCGCCGCCCGGGGCACGGACACCGCGCTCGGGGCCGCCCGGGGCTCCTCCATGGGCGGGCGGCAGCGGGCCGCGCCGCCCCGGGCCTGGTGAGGCGGCGGGAGCGGCGGCACCGGGGGAGAGATGTTCGTGCAGGAGGAGAAGATCTTCGCGGGGAAGGTGCTGAGGGTCCATGTGTGCACCATGGAGGGCGCGGAGTGGCTGGAGGAGGTGCCCGAGGACACCACGGTGGAGAAGCTCAAGGAGCGGTGCCTGAAGCACGTAAGGAGTGGGGGGACACGGGGGGACAG